TGGCCACAAATGGCCACCATAGAGCCCAGAGGGTTGATTTTTGGGCAAATGATATTCTCTTTATATATGTTTTGAACCCCATGCAGGACACAGTTTAGGGTTTGTTTTGTTCAACTGTTTGATTCCCTGAATGTCTACAGCACAGCTTTGAGAGTGTAAAGTTAGCATCACTCATTAAGCTACAACAACAATATTAATGGAAAATACAGCAGGCTCAAATACACCAGATGCATGAGAAACCCCAATCCCAACCTTCATACTGGAGCGTATTTTGCTGACGTGAGACTGGTGCGGCTGAATCTACCTGACCGTCACAGAGGTCGATGAGCTGGGCCTTCTCCCTGCTGGCCCTGACGAGTTTATTCTGAAGCAGCTTGCCATCAAAGTACATCCACGGGCAGCAGTGCTCCCAGGGAATCGGCTGCCCGCATGCGTCATTGGCGAACAGAGCCATGTCAACGCCGCTCATGAACAGAGCAGCCAGCTGGACTCCCCTAGGGTCCAGGTTGTCAATCTGTGGAAGCAAAATATGAAAAACCTCTAAAATGCTGAAATGAAAATAAAAAACTACCAACCCCTAACAGCCCTACTGACCATTCAGATTGAAACGGGGGAACTGCGAAGCAAAGCACAGAGCGGGTGTAAGCAGCCCATTCACACTCAGCTGCTAAAACACAGCGACGAACAAGCTAATCGAGCCAAGACAGAAAGCCAGCACACACAACCCAGATGTTCTGACACAGGCTGAGGGGAGCTACACACACAGAGACCACAAAGAGGAAAGCGCACAGCTCGTGTGGATGGTTTCATTAAAACGGGTCAAATCAAAGAGATCCAGCTTCTCCTGAATTTATAAACCATCCACACACGTCACTGAAATCCCGCAAAGCTCTACAAATACATCTCTTAACACAAAGCTACAGCTTCAGCAACAACAAGCTCTGCAAAACAGTGTTTTGCAGAGCTTGTTTTTAGGAATATGAGGAGTGTCCAGAGAAGAGAAAGAGGTGCAGTACAAAGCAAGGGAACGGCTGACTGAGCAGCAGATTATAGCCGAGATATTCCCGGATGCAGATCTCAGACGCTCCTCATATAATCAAGACTATAAAATCACCTTAAGTTCCTGCAGCTGGTCAGGTTCATAAAGTTTAGGAGAAAGTGCTTGAGCTAGGAAAGCATCAAGTTCGTAACGACGCAAAATTCTTACTCCTGGCCAATGTAACATAAACCTGAAGCAAAACACAGAAGATTAACAGTGTTACAGAAAGCGGGAACCGATCGAGCCCGTCCTCATCAATCCTCACTCCCTTAAACTTTAGCATCGCACTGCTTCCAGCTGTCAGACTGTGGCTACTCACCGGAGCACACAACACAGCACTAAGAGGGGCGTGGGGACGTTGTTGGGGTTCAGCATGGCCGGGGTGTCAGAGCGCATGCAGGCCAGGAACGCCCTCATCCTGCGGTTCTTGTCCTCCACGGCTTTCCCCAACCACAGCTTCTTGAGGTTGGGACATGTCCACTCCCTAAAGGACAGAGCCTCCACCAGCTCTGGAGTGTGGGGAGATTTGCCTTTGCAGGCAGCCCACTCTTTAACCATGACATGTGTGTCTGCAGGAGGACAAAAAATAGTGAACAATTCGTACTTTTGTAGCATGTAAAAAAAGATGTTTAAAAGCCAGCTTTATATCAGTATTATTAGGGATGCAACGATACCAATTTTTTCAAACCGATACGATACCGATACTTGGATCTGAGTACTTGCCGATAC